GTTATCTGCTAAGAGCATCCACTTGGTTTTACACTAGGGCACTCCCAGCTCTCAACCTATTCAGGGTCCTCCAAGTAGTATAAGGGAGGGTGGATCCTTCAGCCATATCCTCTTTTAATGTTATTCCTTGCATGGTGGTCTCCTTCCTCCATCTCTTAATTCAATTTTGTTCTTTATAGTTATGTACTGTAGTTGTTGGACTGAGACGTGTGGAAACTCAAGTTCCAAACAACCTTTAACAGCCAAATTCACTGGGTGACTTTAGGCCAATCATCTCTCACCCCAACTATTTCACAAGGTTGTTAGGCGGATACAATGAACACAAAAGCATTTTGTATGTTCTCTTAGCTCATTTACAGGAAAAGAAGGGAATACATTTGTTCATCTGAGTCATTTTAGGTGGTTTCCCAACAGTTCTGACACTGTTTCTTCTCAGTGGTAAAGTTCTTTTCATTTCATTTTATCCTTGCTATAATCTGAGATTAGAGCTATATCCCATTTTCCTTCCTGAAGCAGTGCAAATTAAATAATTTCACTCTCACAATAGATCCATGAAGTCTGATGAGCTAAAAGGTAGCCACTGGCCTTCAACACCCAGGAAGCCCCATGGGCTATAACCACCATAAATTCATGATCAACACTCAAGCTAATCCCTTGCCACGGTGGCATCTAAGTGCGGTTGACTATCTTTTTAATTTTTCCCTTAAGAAAAGAGATGTTATTTTTCACCCACAATCTCCACCTTCCAAAAGTGATTTTAAAACAGAGGCCCAGTCTAAGTTCAAATAAAATTGTCTGCCTTGTGTGCTTGCTGTTTTTCAGTTCTTCTCCAGTGGTTTGTTGCATTTAGGGTGGCTAAACAAGGACAGAATTTGCATCTGTCTGTGGACTTGACACATTACTGCGGAAGTCCTAGTAAGGCAAAAAGGAAGTAGAAAACAGAAAGCCAAGAACCTTCATTTTTAATTTACAATAGGCAATGTCTTAAAAGGAGGCGTGGAAATGACTCTGCTAGACTGGGAAATGTCCGAATATTACATCATTTACTCTATTTCCTTTGGAAGAGTCCTGTGATTCATAGTCAGGCACAATTAAAAAAAAACAAAACACATGACCTCCATTTCTTCCTAATTCAGGCACTAATCTGGTAACTGTAAATTAAGCATGTCACATCACATAAATCTTTTCCCTATTTGCTTTTCTACAGAGGTCTGCTCAATCGGAGCTCAACTGCCTGAAATTACTGAATAGGAAAGGCATTTTGTGAATGATAAACACTTCACCTTTGCTCCCTCAGGCATTCAGCCTTTTGTTCTTCAACATGGTCTTTGAAGAACATCCTCCAAAGGCCTAATCCTAACACCTCTTCAATAAAACACTATCTTTTCCTCTACTACCGGTATTTATGCCTCTGGCAGATAAAATAAACAACATTTTAGTGACTACTCTACAGATAGTCCTGTTCAGGTAGTCCTCGACTTCCAACAGTTTATTTAGTGGCCATTCAAAGTTACAACATCACTGAAAAAAACTGACTTATGACTGTTTTTCACACTTGTGACCGTTGCAGCATCCCCATGGTCACGTGATCAAAACTCAGATGCTTGGCAACTGATTCATATTTATGATCGCTGTTGTGTCCCAAGGTCATGTGATTACCTTTTGCGACCTTCTGACAAGCAAAGTCAATGCAGAAGCCAGATTTGCTTAACAACCATGTTACTAACTTAACTGCAGTGATTCACTTAACAAATGTGGCCAGAAAAGCCATAAAATGGGGCAAAATTCACAAATGTCTTGCTTAGCAATGGATATTTTGGGCTCAATTGTGCTTTTAAGTCGAGAACTATCTGTAGTTATTTTCCAATAAAATGGATCATATAGCCTAGAGCAGCGGTTCCCAACCTTTTGGGCAACAGGGACCACTTCTGTGGAGAAAGGTTTTTCCACGGATCGGAGAGTGCGTGGTTTTGTGTGCTGTCTGCATCCCATGAATGGAGCTTTGCTTGTTTGTGTGGATCGGTTGCTGGCATGCTGCGATCTGGTATTGGTCCATGGACTGGGGGTTGGGGTCCCCTGGCCTAGAGCCTAATTACCTGAGGGATTGTCTGTCACCTATAGTATCTGTCCGGCTGATCTGACCTGGCAGGGTTGGGATGCTCCAGGTTTCTCCAGTTAAACTATATTGTCTATCAAGACCCCAGTAGCATGCCTTCTCTGCTGTTAACACCTGCTCTCTGCATTGAGGTTTTTCCCAAGATCCAATTGGCCCCCACCCTACTGGTGTTTTGAAGGGCCCCAAAAACCTAACTTTTCACCCAGGCCTTTGGCAACTAGGATTGAAGCCCCCTTTTCTTCTTTGTTATCATCTGGGTTAGTTATTTTTGGTATTTTGGCTCTTTTTTGTTTTATGTTATTTTGTGTTGTTTTTTGCATTTTGTAAACCACCCATGGTCAGCAGGAGTCAGGCAGCATATTAACTAAAATAAATAAATGGAGCAAAAAACCCGCTTTTAACCTCTACAAGAAATTCAGCTGATGCAACTTTGCAGACTATGGTACTACCATAAAAACAACAACTCAACAGCACCATGTATCATTTCTTCTCTTCATCACCATGGTGAAAATAGTTTTAAAAAAACCACAAACGTTTCCTCAAACATAATCATGTGGGCAAGTCTTAAATTTCAATCTGTCACAGCCAAGAGCAGAAATACAAGTGTTTGTGCTCCTAATTAAGGAGCCATAAAAAAACAAAAAACAAAGGTGGATTTTGAAAATCCTCATTCCAATCACATCCAAAGAGCATACATAAATATTTTAGGACACTCACCTTCTTTTTCACCTGGATTTCCTGCTGTGAAACTAGAGGTATTTCTGCAGCGACAGGAGAAGTGTTTTTCCCAGGACTTGGTTGGCAGCATAGGTAGGTCTCCTGATTATTATCCACTTTTTGGTCCTCTCTGGGCAATGGCTGCTTTGGGAGATGACACGATTCCTCAAGTTTAAAACTGGCTCTTGTCCGATAAGAAGAGACGAGAGTTTCTTGATGGTTCTTGGGCTTTAGTGTATCAGTGGTGAGGTCTGTGTGGGCCTGAATGGGTTTGGAAAAACAAAGTGGGTGGAAGGATTGACTGTTCATGGACAGAGCTCCACCAAGATTCTCAAAAACAATCTGCTGTATAGAGTCCTCCTCTTCTACTTCCTGATAGTTCTCTAAGTCTCTTGAATTATTGCCATCAGAGCAAATTTTGGTCTTACTACTCTCTTCCATCTCATCTTCACTCCACCAGTCTTCTGAACTGTCATCATTGTCATCTTCTTCATCTTCTAATGGACTGTAGAATAAGGAGAGGACCAGGGAACTCTGGAAGCTACTGGGGATGGTAGAGGAGTCCATGTTGCACGTATCTTCATTCTCTCTACTCTTTTGGCTCATTTCTGGCTGTTCCACATCCTCTGAAGAATCAAGTGAACATGTAAAGCTTTGTTTCCCACATAATGGCAGATCTCGATTAGATTTCATGTTCTTCTCCGATTCCTGGGGAATTCTGGTGATTTCCAAAATTTGATCAAGGCCCTTATTAAAATTTAATTGTCCATTAGGATTGAAACAGTCCAAAGTATTTTCCAAATATCCACAGAGGTCCAACTCTTTTGTAAAGATTTCAGGATGGTAAGTATCTTCCAACAACTTAGGGGAGACATGCTCAGAACTTTGTATAGTCACACATTCTATGTCCTTTTCTGAAGAACCTTGCCAATTATTTCCCAAATCAAATACTATTGTGGGACTTATTAAACACAGCTTGGAAATCCTTTCCTCTTCCAAATGCATGTTATTCACTGCAGGGCTGCTTGAATGAATCAAAAGTTGTTCAATGTCTTCCCCAAAGTAGCCATCTATAACCAAACTTTCCTCCGAAAGGTAGTTTGTATGACTCTTGAGAGGATGATATTCCAAACAGCTGCCTTCCGCTATCATCATCTTCTCAGTATCATTTTCATTTTTTTTAAATTCTCCGGCCTTCTTTAAGCATTTCATCTTTTCTAAGATGGGCAAAGCCCTTCTGGCAATGCCCATCAAGACAGTCTTCACCAGCTTTGCAGGGAAAGGCTGCCAAAAATATAAAAATCTTCGCAACCAAACCATAGCGAACTCCATCATATGTCGAAGAACTGGAGATGTGCCAGCAGGGCTGGAGCTGACTGGTTCAGGAGGTAGAATTTTTGCCATTCCAGGTCCAGAGGGATAACAACTCTTGAGGAGAATATTTTGGGGTTCAAAGGGTGGGGTAAACTGGCTGGCCACAATACAGGGAGGCATTTTAAATCTGAAAAGAAGCAATCAACACTGGAATTTAGAGTAAGCACATGTAAGTGGAAACTCAAGATTTTTTTGTCCCAAAAGTGCTTTTTCAGGAGGCAACTGGACTTTCTTTTTCTTTGAAGATTTTTGCTTCTCATACAAGATGCTTCTTCAGCGCTGAAGAAGCTTCTTGGATGAGAAGCAAAACATCTTCAAAGAAAAAACAAGAAAGTCCAGTTGCCTCCTGAAAAAGCACCTTTGGGACAACTATGACCTGAATGACTAAGAATCTCCATAGACATCAAGATTCTTTGCTTTCTTGAGTTATAACTACAAGTAGTTATTATGACCCTACTGAGCACAACATTTTTGTTGCTGAGCAAGACAGTTAAGTGAGTTGTATCCCATTTTACAACTTTTTTTGGCACAGTTGTCAAGTGACTCACTGCAGTGGCTGTTAAGCAAATACAGCTTCCCCCATTGATTTTGCTTGTCGGAAGCCAAATGACATGACCCCGGGGACAATGCAACTGTCAGAAATACATGCCAGTTGCCAAGCACCCAAATTTTGATCATATGACATGAGAATGCTGCAATGGTCATAAGGGTGAAAACCAGTTGTAATGGTTCCAATAGATGAAACCAGTAAAAACAGAACTCCAAGGCAAAAGGTTTCCTTAAAGAACATATTTATTGGCTACAAAGTATCGGCAGGATCAAATGTGAAACCAAGACTGAAGTTCCCTCCCAAAGGTTACAAAGTTAAACCCCAGTAATATGCCATAAATATGTCATAAATCACATTCCCCAATAAACTACTTTGGTGGAAAGCTCAGCCCGCCAAAACCCCAGCAACAATGACCTTGGTTCCCACAGTTAAGGACAATTTATTGTTATGTCTACCCTTAAAAGCACACAATCCCCCCTCACAATTGTGGCAACCAAAAACAAAATTGCAGCGTTGACATCAGTCCTAAGTCACTTTTTTCAGTACCGTTGTAATTTCAAATAGCCACTAAACTGTTTGGCTGAGGATTACTTGTATTTTTTATGAGGTTAGATCTATACATCAAGTCTAGCACTATCTGTCCTTTGTTTCATACAGATTCCCCATCATCTGCTATCTGAACCTATTTTTTTAACAACATAGATGTTTAGGACTGAACACTACTATTGTCACAGACCAGTCAGTAAAAAATGGTTTTTGACATGTTTTCTAAGGTGACGGTTTATGTGAATGTAGTAAGTGAACGTGTTCATGTTGTAATTGAAAATCAAGCCACAGTTATCCTCACCTTATGACCATTTAATGATAGGCTTGGCAAAAGTGACTCACAATCTGTACTCATATTTATGACTGTCACACCACCCCTGTAGTCATGTGACTACAATTATGGACCTTAGCAACCAAGTCACATTTACAACCTGTTGCCAGGTGATTGCAATTTGTGACCTTTTTGCCAATCTCTGGCAAAAAATACCTGTTGGCATGTAATGACTATATGATTCATTTAACAACAGTCATAAAAAGTCATAAAATCGCATATGATTTAACTTACCACAGAAATTCTGGTCTCAGTTGTGGTCATGAATTGAGGATTATCTCTATTTTATTCTAGATATTCTGGTCTATAATTCTCAGCACCCTTCAATCCAAGATTTCTGGGCACTGGTGTTCAAGAATGTCTGAAAGACCACAGGTTTCCCACAAACTTTCCTAAGCTAGTCTGGTTAAAACATCTTAACTTAGTTCAGAAAAATAACTGGCATTCCAGCACATTTTAATATCTTTTAAGTATGACTAAAATGCATGATATTTTTTTATCTGCAAGAATATTTTTTATGTATTCAGAAGGAAAACAAAGGCATTTAATGCTTGCTTTGTTAAGTCCTATTCCTGGTATCAGATCTCAAAGCCGGAATAACAGAGTTGGTTGGAAGAGACCTTGGAGGGCTAATCCAGCTCAGGAAGGAAACCCTATACCATTTCAGACAAATGGTTTGTCCAATCCCTTCTTTAAAACCTCCAGTGTGGATTGAAAGAAAACAAGTTCTGGCATTTGGAAAATCACAACTCCAGCATTCTTTGGAAAATCAAAGTGGAGTAAATTTCCTTCCAGGGCATCCTGTCCTTTTGCTAATCCAATTTTTTTCAGCAAAGGCAGAATAAGTTTTCAGAAACAAGAGCTGGCAAGTGGAGGAATGGGGAAGGGAAGAGCTGAAGACCACATACTTAGGTGCCTTACTCCCAAATTCCAACACAATTCCTTCTGCCCCCTACCTGTAGTGCAGTTTACCTCCCAGCTTTCTTAGGGAAGGTTTCACTGGTTGAGGTGTGTAGGCTGAATTCAGGGCGCGCCCCAAACAAGTTGAAGCAAGTGCTCCTGAAATGCTGGCAACACCCCAGTCAGGAAGGAGGGGGGCGTGTGAGCATACATACACACACACACAGAGTTCAGATGCTGATTGTGCAGCTGCTGGGGAGAGAGGAGAGACAACCTTTCTGACCCACAACAGGTTAGATCTGGAAATGGGGGGAGGAGGGGAGAAAGGGAAGGGAATATATTCAATGTATGAGAAATGACAGGCATTTAAAAAAAAAAAGCAGAAGGGATTGCAAATGATTGCAGACAAATACTTTTTGACAGCTGATTTCAATGATCAGAAGTTATCAGTACAAACAGCTTGGATTCTCTAGGACAGTATTTCTCAACCTTAGCAACTTTACGATGTGTAGACTTCAATTCTGGGAGTTGAAGTCCACACATCGTAAAGTTGCCAAGGTTGAGAAACACTGCTCTAGGACAAGAAGTGAGAAGATCCTAATGGAATATAGAGGAATATTATGGAAAGAGGGAAAGGAGTTATAAAGTGGCTTTTCCTGAGGATATTTGGTTCTTTCTGAAAGAGGAGAGTTAAGGAGGATTCAATGAGAGTTTCCTCACAAGCATTTGGTGGACAGCAAGCAGTAGCATTGGAAGGCCAGCAAAGGGGTGGGTGGACTGGTGAAATTGGAAACCGAGACAGGAAGAAGAGATTGACTACTTTGGAGGGGGGGAGGGAGACAGAGAAAGGGGAGGGGAGAAAGAGATTCAAGAGAGTCCATAAAGATCCCTACTCTAGAGCAAAAAACTTGGAATATTCTTTGGATGAGGGATCTCAACTAACCCTTTTGGAGGGCACCCAGGTTGGAGAAAGCCACCCTAGACTTTGGCGAAGCACAGAAAAGACTTGAAAAAAATTCACCTTGCATGAAAAGAGGGAGCCACAAATTAGAGAAGCGAATTATATACCAATGATATTTTGAAGGATCAGAGCAAAAATAACAGCATGTTACAGCGGATGGGGGGGGCGGCGGGAGGCAAAGACCAAGAACATCGAAAGCTATTCCCAAAGGCTTTGGGGTTGGGGCCCAGAACCGAGGGAAAGCGACCCCACCATGCTTGTGCCAACGGAGGAAAAACAGTTCTGAGAACCGCACGAAGCAAAAAAAAGGGAGGATTCTCAACAATTAAAAAGGGCGGATCGTTTGGGTGGAGGCCTGGGAAGACAACCGAGAGGGCGGAGGTGGCAGGCTATCATAATGCCAAACCGGGACACCTGGCCCGAGTTCGGAGAACCAGCGCTTCTCTACAAAACAGGCGTTGCCGCTGGGGAGTGCTTTAAGCATGTGGGAAACAGAAACACGGGATGGGGAGGCGGAGAGTCGCCTTGGAAACGTGCATTTGCCGGGAATGAGCAGGAGATCAAGCGGCTGAGCGGACCGCCTAATAGGCCAAGGGGTCCAGGAGGCTAAGCGACAAATAAATTAAGGGCATCATTTTAGGGGGCTGCCCCCCCGCCCCCGGGGAAAAGCAAGGTCTAATAAGGATTGAACCCTCTTACCTCTGGATTTTTAGCCAGTAATAAACTCGCTCCAGCATGTAACTGCGGGATAAATGCGAATAAGCAGCCGGATGGTAGGCTTTACAAAACAGCAGCTCTTCTCGGCACGAACCATTTCGCCCTATCGAGACTGACCTTTGCTTCTTCACCGATTAGAATAGGATATTTCAAAGCGAAACGAAAGCCGCAGGCGCTTTATATAGACCTATTCGCAGGGAACAGCGTCATCACATTGTGACGTTAAGGCCGGGGCGTGGCCAGAGTCGGAGAGGGAAAGAGACGTGAGGGTTCTAGAAGGGGGGAGAGTGGAGGAAGTGGTGACGTCAGGGGAATGTCTTGTGGTGAGAAGCGGGGGGGGGGGGCGAGATGGAAGCTTACTGGGGATTTTCAAGAGTCCTTGGTGCTCTCTGCTAGTTTCTCCAACTGCTAGTTTCAATTGGGACAATGTAACAATCCTAGACCAGGCCAAGTCCAAAACTGTCAGAATTTCTAGAAGCCTGCCACTCTGACAAATCAGCCATTAATAGACACATAGATGTTAACAACATCTATAACAGGGGTATCAAACTCAATTTCATTGAGGGCCGCATCAGCATTGCAGTTGCCCTTAGGGGGCCGGGTGGGTGTGACCAGGATGGGTGTGGCCTACTGGGTGGGTGTGGATGGAGTGAGTGTGGCCTATTGGGTGGGCATGGCCAGCTCTACATCTTTCAATTCAAGGGGACCTGTGGGGGCCTGGGCAGGAGTGGGACAGATCTGAGGGTCTCTGGCAGAAGGGGTTGGGACTGGGGCAAGTGCCAAGGCATGGTCACTGGAGGAGCCTCACTGCCTGCTGAAACCCCTCTGCTGGAGCCCATCAAGCCAGATATGTGAAGTAGGCAAGGCCCATTTGCTGGCCACTTCCAGGTGATGGTGCATTTCTTCATTCCTCACAAAGGGTGACACCTCCCCAGCGTATACCCAGGGGGTGGGACCAACATGGCAGGGGCTGTTTCCTCGCTGTTTCCAGAAGGCCTTGTGGAGCTAAGACTGAATGCGTTTCAGCATAGATGGCCATCACAAAATTGTACATTGGCTCCCGGCTGACCAGGGCCAAGGCAGTGAGGGCCGTTCCTCACTGTTTCCAGGATGGCTTCGCGGGCCACATGGCTTTGCGAACCGCATCTGGCCCTCGGGTCTTGTGTTTGACATGTCTGATCTATAGACTGTGCAAAAGAGACAATCAACCAGCCCAAAAGTGGAACAAAAAGTGGAACAGTTTGCCTTCAGATATTGTGGGAGTTTCATCATTGGAAGCTTTCAAGAAGAGATTGGATTGCCATCTGCCAGAAATGGTGTAGGGTCTCCTGCTTGGGTGGAGGGTTGGACTAGATGACCTACAAGAGGGGTCCCCAACCTGCGGGCTGTGGCCCTCTACTAGGCCATGGCCTACTGGCTACCAGGCCACGGGACAGGCTGGCCTGTGCGCACACTCATCCCCATGGACCCATTTGCACATGCACATGGGGCTAGCGCCTGTGCAAATGGGGCTGCTTGTGCATGCAGGGATTGTACAGCCAGTTTGCACATGCGCGTGGTTGCTAGTGGCAGCAGGTAGCTCCTGTATGCCTGCATGAACGGGGCTGCTAGCGCTGTGTGGGTGCATGCATCCCCATTCGCGTGCACAAGCACAGCTGCTCCCTTTCCCTCTGGGCTGCCAGCATGAAAAGGTTGGTGTCCTCTGACCTACAAGATCCTTTCCAACTCTGTTATTCTGATTCTAATTCCGAAAAAGATTTAAGCACTTTTCCATTAGCAATCAGCACCCAGATCAGCATACATTAACTCCAAGGTTGACTTCAGATCAACAATCAGGTAAACAATACCCCAATCAAGAAACTGCCAAAGAGACAAAGTAAACAGTCCAACTAAATAATCCCTAAGACCGCCCCCCACCCACCCAGACAGGCAAGACACCAAAATATAAACTGACAGCAAACAGCACTCCTTACTAGCACTGATGTTGTTACCTAGTTGAAATGTCTGCAAGAAAACAAGCAAGCTCAGAGAACGCCAAGGACCCCTCATTTCAACCCTGAGCTGCAAATATTCTCCTTTATTGAATATTTTCAGTTTTCATTCTTGTGAGTTTAAAATAGTTTCTTGGAAAAGCTCACTTTAAAAAAAAAACAACCTCCCTGGTGATAAATAGAATAACCCACATAGAACTGGACGTCTTGTTTGTGGAGGGAAGAGCCCAGTTTACAAGGGATTTTGAGGGATGAGAAATACAAAGCCTATTTTATCATCCGTGTGTAGGTTTATTTACCAGCATTTTTTTAAAACAACTCACCGTAGCTGCTACTGTACAGTTAGTCTTCAACTTACAACAGTTCATTTAGTGACCATTCAAAATTACAACGGTACTGAAAAAAGGGACTTATGACCATTTTTCACATTTACGACTGTTGCAGCATCCCTGTGGTCATATAAGCAAAATTGAGACACTTGACAACTGACACACATTTATGATGGTTGCAGTGTCCCAGGGTTGTATCATCACCTTCTGCAACCTTCTTACAAGCAAAGTCAAAGCCAGATGTATTTAACAACCATGTTACTAACTTAACAACTGCAGTGATTCACTTAACAATTGTGGCAAGAAAGGTCATAAAATGGGGCAAAATTCACTTAACAAATGTTTTGCTTAGCAATAGAAATTTTGGGTTCAAATGTGGTCGTAAGTCGAGGACTACCTCTACTGTAATTCTCTCTTGCCTCTGCATTTAACCAGGAGGCCACAGCAGGCACATGGACAACGGGCATTAATGGAAGAATGCAACTATCTTGCTGTTTCCTAACTCGGTGATGTACCAATCTACGATAGCAAAGGAAACAGTAAACAGGAAGCCAAAAGGCTTTCAAATAGAAAGGACTATAGCTCAGTCTTCCTGTCTTTGATATGGTCACAGGTACTTTACATGGAAGAAAAAAAAACTTAGTTCTGTTGAAATGCACAAAAATAAATTTACAGTAAGAATAGGATAGTTGAAAGCAAAGTTAAAAAAAACTTTTATTATACTTTTTAAAATAATTCTTTCCCATTTCATAAGGATAAGAAATGAAAGGGGCATTTTGAACCGGAAGATGTGTGGGTTTTAAGCATGGCTGGCTGAGGAATTCTGAGAGTTGAAGTCCACACATCTTAAAAGTTGCTATGGTTGTACTATGCATGCACAAACACACTCACTCACACACACACACACACACACACACACACACACACTAATCTGCATGTGCAACAGGGAAAGGGCACCAGGAGTTCATGTTTTTTTTTTTTCTTAATAGACTCTGACTACATTCACTTCTAAAATAGAAAGTATGGCTGCTCGGCTTTAAAACTTACTGCTAACAACCTGTTTGAGCAGTTTGCACCTGTGCTACTGTATCCTTGGTATTAAATGTCAGCTCTTCTAGAAAGGCATACATTCATATTCTTCTGGTTTACATCTGCAAAACACTCCAAATTCACAGTCTATATATCAGTCTTCTCCACCTTATGAATGAAGACGAAGATATGTGTCCCGGGATAATGTTGCAAGATCCAATCTGGGTCGGTCACCGGGACCAGAAGAAGCTTAGTCTTCCCAGCT